CCCCCCCCCCGCCCTGGCAACATGCCCCCTGTGCCTGTCGCCACTTCGAAGGTCACAGTCCTGCACGCAGGAGGTGCTTCACCAGGGCATAGTGGTGAGCGGCAGCGAGAAGATCCCCACGTGGCTCCTCTGGTCCCTGCAGCCCCTCAGAGAACAGAGCCACAGGAAACTCCCTGCAGGGAACAGCTGCCAGCCAGCTTCCATGTCCCTACAACCTAGTGCTGCAGGAAGTAGAGGAGCTGTGTGGGGATTTTCTTGCCGTCACTTGCCCCGTGCTGCCCCAGTGAAGCCAGGCTGCAGAGGCACCTGGGAGTGGGAAGCAGTGTGGCAGAGAATGGTGGCTGCTCACCACTCCTCGCTCTGCCCTGCTTCCCTGCCCCGTGTGTGTCTGCAGCCTGGCGGGCACAATTGGGCACAGCTGGGAAGAGCAGAGTCATGCAGATAGGCTGCAAGCAGTGGCACACCGGGGGGTGTGTTGCCAAGGCAGCACAGGACGAGCACCCCACGCAGCCCCGCTCTTCCCACTCACACTAGATGGCACCCACTGGGTTGCAGAGGCACCCGGTGCAGGGTATCAGCGGCAGGAAATGGCAGCTGCTCACCCTGCTGCTCTTTGAGGAGCGCAGCCCCGCATCACAGCCCTCACAGCAGCCCTGTGCACAAGAGGCGCATCAACCAGGGCAGGAAAAGGTGAGCAGCTGGGAGCAGGCCCTGCTGTTCCCTGCTTCCCTGCCCCTGAGCCTCTGCAGCCCAGCAGGCGTGACCTGGCACAGCAGGGCTGTACAGGGATCTCCGCACCGCTGCAAGCTCTGCACTGCCCTTGCAACATGCCTCCTTCACATGGAGCTGCAGTGAGGCAGTGGCACCAGAGCTCACAGCCTGCCCCTGCCCTTGCCCTGCATACAGATCTGGGGGGCATGGGTCCCCACTGCCCCTTGGAAGTGTGTGTGGTAGCAGGGAGCCAGCCCTCCCTCAGTGAGCCACCCTAGGCTCTGTCCTGCTCCTTGCTGGGGCCCTGAAGCCACACTGTGGCCCTGGGCCCCAAGCACCCCCCGGCTGGGCAGCAGCCCCAGCCCTGCCCAGCTGCTTCCCTTCAGGGGCCTCAATCCCCCTCTTTCCCCCCACCTACTTGACAGAGCTGCCCTAAGGCTGCCTGGGGCCACGTGCACGTGCTGTAGTAGTGTACATGCACATGGCACCCCCTGTCTCACCGCCTTCTTTCTACTTCCTCCCAGCTCCCTGCAGGCTGGAAGTAGCCTGCAGGGATCATTGCTGGCAGACTTTATTATAAAGAAGCTTTGCTCCCAGAGGCTTCGCTGAAGTATTACAGTAATTATTTTTGAAACTTTGGGTCCCACATAGATGACCTTTGCATCCCACCAGTTGAGAAACACTGGACTAGATGACCTCTTGAGGTCCCTTTCAACTCTAATTTTCTATGATTCTATGATCTTTCTTATGTTACTACATGTTCTTGGTATTTTATATATTGTTCCTCGTAGCTATAGGTGAAGGCTGAAGTGGAGACTTTTGAGGGTTCTCCCAGTTAACGATTGCCTGCAAATGCAGGGGAGTAGACTCAGTGGCCCAAGAAGGCCTTCCATTTGTATGTTCCAATATACCTGGGAATGTAATTGGGTTTAGATTGGCAGAGATAAGGTCAGGGCTGAGACCATTCTGCCTAGAACTGGTAAGGAATTTTCTGATGGAATTTTGTTTTGTTGTTAAAAAATGTCAGTTGGTTGAAATCAGAAATTCTTGTGTAAGTGTACATAATTGTTTTGACAAGGATGGGATTTCTGGTAAAACCAGAGGGAGAAGACCATGTCCCACTTAAAAATAGTCAGTAGCTCGGTAGGCAGGTCATTTACTTAGGATGTAGCAGACTGATGTTCGAGACCCTGTTCTTCTGTCAGACTAGGCTTGAACCTTAGTCTCCCTGAGGAGTGTGGGCTTGTGGGTGATCTGGGGTAGAAGAGGTTTTATCTTAGAGGCATATAGTTCTGTCTTCAGTACCAGTATTCTAAACCTGGCTCTCTAGTTCCATGATCCTCCACAAGACAGCAATTTTTGGAAGGTCAAGGAAATGAAGCAGCCTCTAATGGTCAATTTAATTGACTTAGACCCAATTAATTTACTTGTTGAAATTCTGTTGAAGCCTGTTTGAAGTCCATGGATCTATCTTGGAGTAGGCTTTTAAGTGCTTTACAAATTTGGATCAGGACTCCAGAAGAGAAACCACTAGAGAGATTCATATATTCCAGTACATTTTCACTAGACTCCTAATTTTTGCACTGAATCTTTAATGTGTAGTATAAGAAAAGTTCACTCACTATGGTTCCCTCCCCTCTTTTCCCTCCACTCGACATATATATGATTTACCATGGGGTCTTTCTAAGAAACTCAGACAAGATCCTGCATATGTATTTCAGGAAATACATTTTAGGAAATACATAAGTAGCATAATTGTGATTTGATATTTCATTTTGGAAATGGTATGTTATCCTTTAATTATAGCTTCTATCACAATGTGCACGAGACAGGAACATTCGGATTACATATGTAACTTGAATTTTGGCGTATTTTGAATGCTTAATCATGCAACCTTAGCATTCTTTTATTATAAAATGGTTGTTTTTTATTGACATGTAGTACAGGATAAATGTTTGGAAAAGTTATGTAATCGCAGTCTCACTTTTCAACAAAAATATTGCCTCGCAGCAGGGTAAATTAACCCACGTGAAGCCTTGTGCTCCTGCGGGTAGTTCAGGTACCCAGAGCAGCCCAGCTCATTTAAAGAAAGCTGGGGTATCTATCTGTACACTAATTGAAGTCAGCCACTCTGTCTTACAAGGGTTCTGGCTGACTACATTGAAGTAACTTGTAAGAAACCTTAAACCTCTGTTGTTGTAGTTTTGCCTAGACAAAATTGTCTATTTTGTGAGAATTAACTGGGTTTGCAAATTAGCAAATTGAGGATCAAAGCCATTCTGCTTTTTTGTGATTTGTGGAAGTGAAGTGTGGAAAGTACTTAAGTATTTATTTCTGTATCATTTAGGACAAGAAGAGTTTTACAGTACTCATCCCCACTTTATGACCCAGAGAGCCTTGTATCTTGCTGTTTATGATCTCAGCAAAGGGCAAGCAGAAGTGGATGCTATGAAACCGTGGCTGTTTAATATAAAGGTAGCAGTCTAAATTTTCTGTAATATGTTTTTTTTTTTAAATTCCAAATAACTGTTTGTAACCATTAAATTTACCTCATATTTTTGGGAAGTTGTTCAATTAGTAGAAACTTTAAGATCAGAAACTTTCTGGAATGCAGATTATTGTGTATGAAAATGTCTTCATAATTTTTGTAGATTTATGGATGTCATCCATAGTAAGAATTTAGCAAGTGCTGACATTATTTTGCATAAAATGATAAAGCACAGCTATGTCACAAATTCCAAATGCTGGTCCTGATTTTCCGTCCACACCAGTTTAAGCTCAAGTGAAGTCAGCATTGATCCCTCCATACTGCAAAGTCAATAAAATTTCTATCTGCACATTAGTGCTAGAAATGCCACCTAGAAAACAGCGATTTAGATGCACAAAGGAAAGTAGAATTCCACCCTAAGACGGTGAGTATTTTTCTCTGCTTTCAGTTAGACCTTATCAGAGGTTGATCAATAGCTTTACCTCATCTTTCATCATTACTCATAAATACTCTTTCCTTCACTCCTTAGACATCATTATATCTTAAGGGTAGCAGGTTATAGGGCACACTTAATGAGTTTTTGGTAAAGACCTTTGTTAACATATTGTCCTTTACCATTTTGGTGCCTTGTCTTTATTGCCCCACCATTTTTCACAGTGATTAATAGGGTTGTTATTCAGTCTTATTTTCTTACTGTGAAAAATTGAGTTGCTGGAGTTTTTTTAAGTTCCTAGAGATGGAACTGAGCTGCAAAGGTTGGAACCTTGATCCAAACACCCCTTTAAATAGAAGAGTGTTTATATCCATATTTTGATTCAAGATCATCTCTACATGTTAAATAATGCTTTACAGGCATAATACGGTAACATTTTTATTACCTCACCCAATCTTTAAAATGCAGTTTATATACAGCTTAAAACTACTATATTGCAAGGCGCATTATTTCACATTTTGCTCTAGTGTTTATTCCATAAACTCACCTAAATTAAACCCTATGACTTACAAAGTCAGGCAAAATGTAAAATTAAAATAAATCAGTGTTGAGCTCCCAGTATTGTCAGTCTTCTTGCACTGATGAGAAGAAAATAGACAAATATAAATTATAAGGAGAGAGACAATAGAAATCAATCTGGCTGTATTTCCCCAGTCTTAGAGGGTGCTTATACATGTGAGGGGGGTTTAGTTCCCCTAAATTGAAAATGGTGAATTTTTAATTGGTAGGTTTTTAATTGTGAGGATTAAAAACCCACCGTTTCAATTTAGGGGCTTCTGTCACTGTTACGGAACAGTGATGACCCATCTGCAGCTCCCCTGCCTCCTCCCCCAGTCGTTGAGCTGCAGGGGGACCAAGTGCTTCCCACCACAGTGGTGGCACCCCCAGGGCTACCCCAGGCAGGGTGTTACCTGCACAAGTGTTGCTGCAGCTCTCAGGCAGCACCCAAGCCGATCCAACAGTGCACGGAGCGCTGAAAGCCCAGGCATGCTCAGGAAAGCTCAGGCTTGGTGGGCTTCCAGCACCCCATGCACCATCCGCACTGCCTTCCTGCCACCTAAGACTGCCTGGAAGTGGGCTGGCTTGCCCCTGAAGCAGTGTGGGAAGGTGGCAGAAAGGTGTCTGGGTGTGCTGGCGGCCAGAGAAGGCAGCGGGGATGGTGCACAGGGAGCTGGAAGTCCACCAAACTTGAGCTTTCAGCAGCCTGCCCAGACTTCCAGCTTTCCATGCACCATCTCCGCCACCTTCTCCAGCTGCCAGCACACTCAGGTGCTCTCTTGCCACCTTTCCACATTGCCCCAAGGGCAGTCCAACCCATTCCAAGGGCAGCACAGAGAGGCGGCAGGAGCTGTGTGTTGTGTATGTGCAACAGATTCTTTTGCCCACAGTGGGACAATTTGGTATGACCAAACTAAAATACATCAAAGGTGGTCTGAGTTGCCACGCTCAAAAATTTTTTGACGCAAAGAAAAATCATGCACGTATATGTGGTAACGCCGTTATGTTAGACAAATAGCGATTTCTTGTCACTTTCGTCACATGTACATGGCCACATCATCACGTGTACAAGTGCCCAGAGTCTTTATGTTGTTTTGACTGCACTATGCAGGTTGCTTGTGCACAGCCAAAGAAAAATCGGGTTTCGCCACTGAGATAATAAATTATATGGTTCTTGTTAACAGGCTCGTGCTTCATCATCTCCCGTGATTCTTGTTGGTACTCATTTAGATGTCTCTGATGAGCGGCAATGTAAGACCTGCTTGAATAAAATTACAAGAGAACTGTTGAATCAAAGAGGCTTCCCACTTATCCAGGATTATCATTTTGTGAATGCTAAAGAAGAATCTGATTCCATTATAAAGCTCCGGAAAACCATAATAAGGGAGAGTCTGAACTTCAAGGTAAACTGCATACTGTTCACTTCATAAAAAGCTTCCTAGAAAACAGACTGTTTTAACACCATTTTTTTGTATCTTGAAATCATAGTCATTGCACTTATATGATACCTTAGACCGGGTATTGTCAACCCCCCTCACATCCAACCGCCGCCACCAGAAGGGGTACACTTGTTAAAAAAGGTTGAAAACCCCTGCCTTAGACCAGTGTTTCCAAAACTTTTCATACCTGGGGCACACTTTTTTTTCCTTGGATTAAAATTGGCTGCAGACTTCACTCTTAAACAGAAAAAGATGTACATATATATACATTTTTTTTTCAAAACATCACATATTGTGTTCCCCTGCCAGATGAAAGCATACCAATGCTGAGATTTACTATTTAAAAAAATGGCTTAAAAAATCGCTGTGCCCTATTTCCACTGTCACCCCCTTCCCAATCCCTGCTCTGGGAAGGGGCAGACAGTCTAAACATAGGGTCAAACTGTAGTCTCAATAGTTTCTGGAATATGTGGTGGGGGGAAACCTTTAAGTGTTTGAGAAGAAGACATTCTTAGGAAGGCAGAAGTCTTCCAAAGTACTGTGGGAAATATGCTGAGGTGTGGGATTTCACGCACCTTTACAAGGGTGTGGTCTGTATTCCGCTAGTGCAGATTTGTTGGTGCTTACTAATGCACAGGAGGTGAAGTTATTCTACCACAATATGCATACCACTTCTAGCATCTCCTTCCCATCCCTGATGCATTTGCACCCTTCCCCTCACATACTCCAGTCCCCTTTATACTAGGCATGTCTGCACGTGCATTAATGTGCTGTTGCTACTGTGCATATCTCAGGGTACAAGTGCAGCACTGTTGCTGAGGCAGCTCCTGCAGGGTCTCACACTCCAGCAGACTTGATTAATTGAGTCTGCTCTGACATGCTGTAATTACAGCATGTCAGAGCAGCCTCCCCACTCATGTACAGGCACCCAGAGGTACTAAACAACTCAATGCACAGTAGCAACAGCACATTAATGCAGGTGCAGACATGCCTAATATAAAGGGGACTGGAGTACGTGAGGGGAAAGGTGCAGGTGCATCAGGGATGGGGAGGAGATGCTAGAATTGGTATGTATAGTGCAGTAGAATAGCTTCACCTCCTGTGCATTAGTAAGCACCAACAAATCTGCACTAGAGGAATACAGACTACACCCTTGTAAAGGTGCGTGAAATCCCACACCTCAGCATATTTCCCACAGTACTTTGGAAGACTTCTGCCTTCCTAAGACCGTCTTCTTCTCAAACACTTAAAGGTTTCCCCCCTACCGCATATTCCAGAAGCTCTTGGGACTATAGTTTGGCCCTATGTTTAGACTTTATTAAGAATCAAAACCAGTTAAAGGAAAACAAGTCTAAATGCATTATGAAATCATTTTTCTTGGGTTATAACTTTTTTCTTTGTTATATAGATACTAGAGAATTGCCCATCAAGAATGATGGGGGGTGGGCAGGGACAGAGCACCGCCACCCACCACCCTGCCTCCCAGGAATGGGGATTGGGGGAAGCTTGCCCCTCCATCCCCTTCCACCAACACCCCAGACTGCTGCACCTCCAAGGAGCAGGGCTGGGGAGGGGAGTGGGGGCCAAGGCCAGCAGCACAGGCTTCACCCCCTCACTCCGTCCCCTCCATCCCCACCATTATGGCAGCACTCCATTGTCCCACTCCATCCCTGCCATTCCCTCCACCCCCCTCCGCCAGCACCCCTCACCACCACCGCCTCCAAGGACCAGGGCTGGGGTGGAGTGGGGGCAAGGCCAGCAGCACTGGCCTTGCCCCCCACTCTGTCCCCACCATCATAGCAACGCTGTGCAGAGTGCTCTGTCTGTGCAGAGCACTCTGATTGGTTATTTCAATAAGTATTGTGATTGGCTGCTGAGACAACCAATCAGAATACTCCAAGAGCATTACGGACAGGCACACAGACGCATAGACACATGGACTAAGCCCTTTATATATAAAATTCCTATTGTGGTTTATATAGTTATTAGTTCATTTTGTGAGTCTTTAAAAAGTTGTGGTTAACTATTAAATAACTCGTCTTATGCTCTGTTGATATTGGTGCCTGTGCTCTGGGATAAGTCAGCCCTGTGCTTAAATGACATCTTGGTGGTATCAATCTGTAATTTATTAAGAAAACTAAAATGAATTCTAAGATTATTATTCATAATTACACAGATCAGAGACCAGCCAGTAGTAGGACAGTTAATCCCAGACAGTTATCTGGAGCTGGAGAAGAGAATTTTATTTGAACGTAAAAACGTCCAAAGCGAATTTCCTGTGATTGATCAGAAGCGATTATTAGAACTGGTGCAAGAAAGCCAGTTACAGCTGGATGAAAATGAACTTCCTCATGCAATTCACTTTCTGAACGAATCAGGTAGTATATTTTCTTCCTTGTGCAATGTTAGGTTTTAGAATTGTTTAGCAGACAGACTTATTTATATTGTTATTTTTCACAGGATTACCGCAACATGGTGAGCTGATATGTTAGTCTCATTTAAGGTTTCATTGTGTTATCTTAGAACCTAAGAGAAAGAAACTCTGTGAAGGATTATTCTGTTAACAGTTTATATCTTTTAATTCCCTTTGAAAGGAATAAGCCAGATGGATAGAAAACAGGATTTAGGAGAAAAGGTAAGAATAGGAGAAAAGCTTGTGAGTAGGACAGCATTTATAAATTTTAACTGATTATTTCAGAATACAAACTGAGCGATTAAGGATGCTTAAAACAAAATAATAATCAACGCTGAATCTTTACTGACGAAAGAAATAAATCAGATTATGAACATAAGTATGGCACTTGGAAATAAACTGACTCAACTCCAATCCTTTGAGTTATGTTCATCAAAGATAACCCAGAGTTGAGCCCCTAAAACCAATGTTGTTTTATATCAATGTTACATGATCTTCTAATTATAGTTTCTTTGCATAGGTGTACTGCTACATTTTCAAGACCCAGCACTCCAGCTAAGAGATTTGTATTTTGTGGACCCAAAGTGGCTCTGTAAAATAATGGCACAGGTTAACTTCTGATAACTTTTTTATAGCCCTTGATACAGCTCTTTCCTGCATCCCCAGCTACTGTAGTTGACCTGGCCTCTTCTTTCCTCATTTATTCCCAATATCATGACTCACTTCTCCCTTCACCCTTTTCTCCTGCTTTGGACTTAATTATTTCTTCCTATTCCCTTTAGTCATTTTGTGACTAAGGTATGTCCCAGTGCCCCCGTTATCTATTTTGTTACTTCTGTCTTATTCTCCTCACTCTGCAGTGACTAACAGAACACAGTTAAAATATGGAGGTTAAAGATGGGATGTAGCATAATCCTGCAATATATTGTTAGAAGTTGAGGTGAAGGCTGGAGGTCTGTACTGTAGCAATGATAATAATCTGAAATGGAAGGAGAGCAGGAAAGAATGGTAATTAGGCTTTGGAGAAGGTGGAGGAAGGGAGGTGGGTGGGGGCTTCAGACCTAGAAACAGGTAAGAAAAGGGCCTGTGGAAACAGTTTAGCTGGAAAGTGTCCACCACTACTTTAGTAGTTTGGAACTCCACATTTTTTGATGGTTGTTCAGATTTCCAAATCCTTGAGAATTAACCTATCACTAATTAACATTCAGAATAATTTCCCATATGCTAGGCAGCATGCGAGTCACTAATGTACGCTAAGATACTACCGTGCATGGATAGGAATTTAAATAAGATCATGAGATGTACTTGTTCACTGCTAGTTCCCTGTCCTCGGCTGGCTTATCCTGCAGAAATGTGGAGTTCTACAATGAACAGGAATATGACTTTTTTCTAATTAATCACATGTAAAATATTTCAGAAAGCTAAGTTTGTTTGAAAAAATGCAATCCAATTATGACTATAGAACTTTTTTTTTTTTTTTTTTTTAAGATTTTGACAATGAAGGTGGAAGGCATTTCTAAATACCCTAAGGGAATTATAAAACGTTCAGAAGTGGAAACATTTCTTTTGAAGAAGAGCAGATTTCCTAAGATATATATGTCACAATACTTTAAGCTTCTAGAAAAGTTCCAAATTGCATTGCCATTAGGAGAAGATCAACTACTTATTCCAAGCAGGTAAACAAAGAGCTTAAACCGCATATGTGCTATGAAAAAAATGTATTAGAAACTGATATTCCTGGATATTCTGATATTTTTAGGTACTTCATGCCAAAGTAAATTGTCACAAATAATCAAGATTTTGCTTTGTTACCAGGTGTCCGTGCTTTCCATTCACTGTGGAAAAATGCAGGTTTTTCCTTTTAAGGAGAAAAACATAGACTTTCTCCTTAAATCACAGATTTTCTCCTTTAAAGGAGAAAAATGTGGGAAATGACAGGTTTCCTCCTGCAGGCTGGCAGAGTTTCAGACTGCAAAGGGCTGCTTAGAGCTACAGGGAGTGGGAGGAGGGCTGTTGCATACACACATGCACAAAGCAGCTAGGCAGCATGGAGAGCAGCTCCCGCAGCTCCCTGCAGGTAAGTCCAGGGGAGGGGAGGAGGGCGGACTAAAGCCCCCACAGTGAGGGAGGGAGGGAGTGGGCCAGGACTGGGGCTGGGAGTGCTGCCCAAATAGGGTGGGGCAGGGGCAGGAATACATGACCACAGGGCCTGGTTGAGGAAGAGGGGCAGAGCAGCATATTAGGGGCCACAAGCAGATTATCCGGGGCCAGCAGTGGGGCTAGTTCCCCACTGCTATCTAAGGTTACCATATTTCTAGGGCCAAAAAAGGGGACACCTGTCACATGGGGGGGTGGGCAGTGACATGCTGGTGCCCTGCCCCTGCCTATTCTCTTGCCTCTCACTGTGAAGCCACAGTGCCCCCAGCCCTGCTGCTGCCCTTCCTTCTCTATCCCACCTGTAAAGCCTATAGCCCCTAA